TTCTGCCTGTGTTCTGGTCTCTGCACTGGTGACTCATGTAATAAACAGTCTCTCCATGGCCTCACACCAAAGAACATACTTATTGGCTCCATGGTGAAAAAAACACTTCATAAGTTAGTCAGCCAGAGGTAATAATTTTGAAACAAGAAAGTTTGTTAAATACATAAAAACTGGATTACAGTGTAATTATGGTATGCCATAAATTAGATATTGCAACGGATAATTATATGTTGGCCTTCTGGGGCAGTTAAAACACTTTGGCATTATGATTCCGGAAAAGGCACCAGAAATATTTATGCAAAGCAAAAGGTAAAGTATATGCTGTCTACATACTAAACAGCCCGTTTCATCCCTCATCCTACCCACAATAAACCTCTGCTACGCCTGTCATCTTTTTTGTTCAAATTGGTTGCGTTATCAAAGTGCAGCCTATTTCAAAACAAGGCAATTTCTTTTTACTTATTAATATAGAATATTGAAAGCCACAGGAACAAGTGAGAAATGTTATGGTAAAAAGGATAACATCTTTACAGCCGTTTGGTTTATTTGTTTGCATTATACTAGGTTCTACAGGTAGGATCTTTTAATTAATGGAAAATCCCATGAGAATCACCAGATATTTATTCACTTTTCCAGATGGTTTACTCGAGTTGATCTCTTACAGAATAATTGTGCATTTTGTGTATTTTTTTTTGAAAGTAGGGCATCCGTTTGAATGAAATGTTTTGAATTGAAAAATTATAATACACTGTTAAATTGAAGTACAGTCTGTGCCTTTTGTGAATGTGTTGGTCCGGAAGAAGAGAATAGAAAGTGTAGCAGAATAATGGCAGCGGCCCCCGTGTCAATGCAGTCGGACATTGGTTGTTTTTACAGGGAAAGCTTTGTCCTGTGACAATTTAATGATGTGAGATAAGTGGAGCACAAGATCCTTCAAACCAAAATCGTAAACAGCAACACGTTGGGGCATCCAGGTACACCGACGGTTTCAGGTCACCGCGCGACGTGTCAAAGTCCTGCCGACGCTCAGGGCGGAAGATCAAGCAAAGACTTTGTTTTGGAATTTGTCTTTTTAACTTGCTTAAAGTGATTGTCTGGAGTTTGTCAGAAAGAGAGACAGAGAGGTACTTGATTTGAAAAAAACGACGCAAGCTCCCTCCCCCTTCCTTTCTGATTGGTCTTCACCTACGTTTCCGTAACACTTTGAAATGTTAATCAGAGAACACATTATACATATACATTATTAATACACATGCACGGAGGTTTTCAGAATTATTTGTGAACGTTTTAATGAAAAAAATAATGTTTTTATGCACAAAAAAAGCGATCGCGGCAAACCAGGAAGTGCTATTATCATGAATTGCACGTTATAGGACACATCTGCAGAGGATCTGATTATGGATATAGGTTCAGAATATACATAAGTACCTCAGCGCGGATGTTCAGAATTCTTTGTTCAGTTTTCATGTAGTTACAGAGCCTAATAGAGGCTTGATTTGGAGGCTCCGTGAAAACAAACAACTGCGCATGCGCACAGCTGCGAGCATCAGCGCCGATGATTGACAGCCCTTGGCATGACTCGATTGGTTAACCTCGACGCCACCGTGGATTCTGAACTATAGCTAAGAGCAGGGAAGGCGGGACTTGCCCGTAATATTAGAATTAATAAAATGACTTATTTTATATCAACATTTAAGGCCAGGAGGTCATTTAACACATTTCCTAAAATTCGTAATTCATTTAGAGTTAGAGACTATCACTTTAAAATGCAATAGGTCTGTGAGAAACATACGGCCTAATGTCAATAGTGGCTGAGAATCAGATGGTTCCCAGACAATTTTTTTTAATTGTGTCTTCTTTCACAATAATAAAAAAAAAAATGTCTATACTATTATGTTGCCCCCAATATTGCATGATCACTGAACTGAACTAATTAACAAAATATTGATGAGTTATACAAATGTAAAAGATATCCATAAAACATTAAGTAACTTTTACTTTGTATTATTGTCATTTATTTATTTATTTTTGCTCCATTCTGTTCATGGTAATACAACAAAATACCACAATAATCCAACGAGCACAACAGTAATACATTCCTTGAACAAAAACAGGAGTAGGTTAAAGAAAAAAAAAATCTTCATTGTTTTTACAAAATAGGGGCATACATTGATACACTGACGCAGGCAAAGTCTCAATCTTAATCTTGTTAGATCTGAGTGCTGCCTTTGACACTGTCGACCATGAGATCCTCTTACAGAGATTAGAGGACTGGGTTGGCGTCGCTGGCACCGCCCTAAGTTGGTTTAGGTCTTACCTTGAAGACAGGAAGTACTTTGTGGGGATTGGAAACTGTGTCTCAGATCATATGGCCCTGACCTGTGGAGTACCACAGGGGTCGATCCTGGGACCTCTTCTGTTCAATCTCTACATGCTGCCGTTAGGTCAGTTAATACGCAGAAACAAAGTGTCCTATCACAACTATGCAGACGACACTCAGATCTATGTCTCACTGACTGCAGGAGAACATGGACCAGTGGACTCACTCCTTCACTGTATCCAACAGATCAGTGAGTGGATGCAAAACAACTTCCTTCAGCTAAACGCAGACAAAACAGAAATGATTGTCTTTGGTCCCCAGAAACAAAGAGAGAGCGTCATCTGTCACCTCCAGTCTCTCTCCCTAAAACCTTCAAACAAGGTCAAAAATCTAGGGGTAATACTGGACTCAGACTTAAATTTTAACCACATCAAATCAGTAACATCAGCAGCTTTTTACCATCTAAAAAACATTGCCAGGATCAAAAACATAGTGTTTAAAGCAGACTTGGAGATTCTTATCCATGCATTTGTCTCCAGTAGGTTAGACTACTGCAATGGCCTGCTCACAGGTCTGTCCAAACAGGCTGTAAAACAGCTGCAGTACATTCAAAATGCAGCAGCTCGAGTCCTGACTAGAACCAGGAAGTACGACCACATTAGTCCGGTCCTCAGGTCTCTGCACTGGCTTCCTGTGGCTCAGAGAATAGACAATATAAACAGCTCTGCTTGTGTACAAGTCTCTCCATGGCCTCGCACCAAAATATATTAGTGACATGTTAGTCCCATATGAACCAGCCCGGACTCTGAGGAGCACAGGGACTGGACTCCTGTTAGTGCCCAGAGTCAGAACTAAACATGGGGAGGCTGCTTTTCAGATTCATGCTGCTAAAATCTGGAACAGTCTTCCTGAAGATGTGAGATAGGCCTCCTCTCTGACAATGTTTAAAACCAGGTTAAAGACAGTTCTGTTTAGCTGTGCATACAACTGAGGGATTTTATACTTTTAGCTTTCTTTTTAATGTTCTGTGATTATTTATGATTTTAATGCTTTCTTGTTTTGTTCAGCACTTTGAATTGTGCTATATAAATAAACTTGCCTTGCCTTGCCTTGCCTTACAAAGACTTATATAGACCTTTTTGTCTCAGGAATAAAACATGATTTATTCATAGATAAAAATATATTTATAATAAAAGATTCTCCCTTCTCACAATAGCAGTGGTTTTATTTATATAAGTGGCAGAACGTTGATGTCACTTTAGCTAGAGTACCTAACTTTTAAATCACACACAAATAACAAATCCATCAAACCAACACTTCAATCACTAGTTTTCACAAGAACACGTTTGGGTCTCTCTCAAATCTTTAGACAGAAAAATGAGAACCCCACCTCACTCAGCCAATCATTTATCAGCCCAAAAGTACCAAGACTCATAGGTCCTTTCTTGCTAATATGTAAAATATAATCATGTATTCTACTGAGATAAGGACAGCAAGCTCTGATATGTTCACAACATTTTACTCTATTGATCCTAAAAAGGTGGGTACCAGCCTATGTTGGGTAGAAGCTAATTCAAAATCCTGAATATATTGTGAAAGAATGTGATCTCTGCTGAGAAAAACAAAAAATGAGCAAGTTTTGGTTTTGTTTGCATATAGTAATTGAAATTGTAGTAAGAAAAAAGCATAGTTTTAAAAGTGAAACTCCTTGATACTTATGCAACAACAAAATCCTGAGACTCCCTGATCAAAGCACTGAAGCTTTGCTCTGCGTTGCCATACTCCTTATGATCCTTATGCTCAGATGTCTCTATTTGAGTAAGACAGATTGCAATAAATATACTATTTATAGTATTGAAATGTGTGACTTCTAAATAACCAACATACTGCATGTCTAGATATTCAATATCTTCTTATTTGCTTTTGGCAAATGATAATCTATTTTCCCACACATGCAGCAGATGTCACTGTTTAGAAAAGTTGACTATGTATGAAGAGAACCTTGGCAGTGTTCAGAGTGGTAGTGGGTGGTTGGCCTTTACTGTTGTTTGGCTAACTGTGCTGTGTCCCAGTGGAAACATTCATTATAACAATCCAGATGCATTTTTATTATGTTGCCAGATTTCACAGCGACGACAAGATTATTGGCTCCTTATTTGCTCCTATTTGTTACTTCCCATTTAAATAATTTGTAGGAAAAATATCGCTTTGCATTAACACCGCTTTCGATGCTTGATGGGGCAAGCGACGGAAACGAGTTTGCATTATGTTACTTGATTGCCTTTTTTAATGTAATTTCGGGATTCAATTTCTTGGGAAAATGAGAACCCAAGAAAGTCTATTTCCAAGGTACACACAGTGACGACTAAAGCAGATTAATCCTGAGCATAAGGGGATGCGGTCGACCATTCTATTGAGACGCCAACATCCACCATTTTCGATAGTTTTTTTGTTCTTATCATTTTACTCCCAAGTATCTTTCAATCATTTTCACACTGAACAAACTTAAAGGGAACACAGTTGTAATGCATGTCACTCAACTTCAGAGGGCTGGAATGAAAGGATTGGCAGCTGCAGTCAGTTAGAAGAATGCTATAATAGTGTGGGTGCATACAGTGGGTTTGAATGAACTGAGACTCGTAAAGTGTGTAAAAGATTTCTCCCCTGTTGTTTCTTGCAGGTAATGTGTTTGTGGTGAGTTTGGCCTTTGCTGACCTAGTGGTTGCCTTCTATCCATATCCCTTGGTCCTCTACGCTCTCTTCCATGATGGCTGGGCGCTAGGAAACACGCAATGCATGGTAAGACGTTTTCCAAGCTGGGGGGATTGATATTTTACAAGAGATGCAACGAGATTTAAGTCAATGCACTGCAAAACATGACAAAATATAACCTGCTTAATGCTTAAAGAAATTGTTTTGCATTTTTACTTCAGATTATATTTTGACTTAAAACAAGGTTTGCCAGTGGAACAGGCAAATGAATATGAGAATTAAACTTTCTTACTGATGCTTTGAGTGCAGTGCAGCTTAAATTAAATGGGGTACTCTTGAATGCATTATAAAATAGTTTTATGGTTATTAGTGCACAAGGTTAAAGTATGCATTTTTGCAATTGTTGTAGGGAAATTAATAATAACATTAGAAACATTCAGCGTATAGTGTTTAGATCCTTTGTATAGCTACTTAGAAGGGTACGTGAGCTACTGGTGGCTCCCGAGCTCTAGGTTGGAGACCACTGCGCTTATCATTTCCACCAACTCATTTAGTTAAGATCTTAGTGCTGTGGTGTTGATTATGTTAATGATACATAAATCACACACACACAAAAATCTTTCTTTCTGCCTTGTGAACTGATACATGCCCGTACCATCAGGGAAATACAAAACCTGGTGCTCTACACAGAACATGTTCGTTATCATAAAGATGATGATTTTAAGTCAATGTCTTTTTGTTATTGAATGCTTAACAATCATATATCGGTAATAATAAATTGTCAAAGAAAATCCATGACATATTGTCCCCTCTTCTGTGTGCTGTCTGCAGGTCAGTGGTTTCGTTATGGGACTGAGTGTCATCGGCTCCATTTTCAACATAACAGGAATCGCGGTGAACAGATACTGCTACATCTGTCACTCTTTCTCCTACAGCCGCCTGTACAGCTACCGCAACACCCTGCTGTTTGTGGCCTTAATTTGGCTGCTGACTGTGGCTGCCATAGTTCCCAATTTCTTTGTGGGATCCTTGAAATATGACCCCCGGGTTTATTCTTGCACGTTTGCCCAGAATGTAAGCAGCTCCTACACTGTAGCCGTGGTGGTGGTTCATTTCCTGGTTCCCATCGGAGTGGTTACCTTTTGTTATCTACGCATCTGGGTGCTAGTCATTCAGGTATTGACATTTTTTACCCTGATGTTTCTAAATGAATCAATTCCTGTTTTGGTGATCAATTTACTCTCTCAATTATGCTTTATAACTTTATTAATGCATGAAATATGAATGAGGAGCAAAACGTTCATGAAAAAGAAAACTCTAGTGCCTTAATGTAGCAATTGCTTTTCATATTGTGCAGGCATAATATGTAGATAATTGAGCATTGAATCTAAATCTAGTCTGATCTGACAGTGCAGTTTTTTAGTGGGTAAAAGTGGGTATGCCTGATAGTATAGATCAATATACTGTTGTATTGTCTGTAATGGGTGTTAAACACTGGGCTTTAACACAAACTGGGTCAGTAGCAGAGAAATGGGTTTTTTGGAATTCTGACCTTTAATTGAAGAGCCTGCAAAAGAACATTTAAATGCCAAAATGCAATGACAAATGGCACTGCCCCTTAAACAACACAAATCGCCATTTGACACAAATGACATTTGTGCTTTTTTTCCCTCTGAAATCAAGGAACACTGTGTAACTGTGTTTAAATATTCAGAATTCACTTAATCCACAATCAAGATAAAAAACACAATGAGTCCACACATGCAAATGGAGGTCAAACAACAAGATACTACCACCATCATTCATCTGATCTCAGTTTAGCCTCAATAGTTCTTAGAAAAGAGAGAGTTAAGACGCTGTGCATCAGTGCTTCAGGGGATCTTCGGCAAAAGCATTTATATTGCAATTATGTATTAATATTACACCTCTACTGTATATTGAATTTAAACAGCTTAATTTATGAATATATAATCTATTTTTATATAGAGTAACAAAGATGTGCTTTTACAGTAGTGTGTGTATCATTCACTTACACACTGCAGTGGAAAGATGCTTTTGTTGCTACCATAGGCAAGCCGGCATCTCTGACCATGGTCTACCATTCTCCATCCATCCATCCATCCATCCATCACTCCATTTTCTTCCGCTTCATTCGTTGCCAGGTCGTGGGGGCAGCAGTCTAAGCAGAGACGCCCAGACTTCCCTATCCACACATACTTCCTCCAGCTCATCTGGGGGGACCCCAAGGCTTTTCCAGGCCAGCAGAGAGACCTAGTCCCTCCAGCGTGTCCTGGGTCTTCCCCGGGGTCTCCTCCTGGTGGGACGCACCCGGAACTCCTCCCCAGGGAGGCGTCTCCCCCCCTGGACTGCCCCCTTAACGTAGTGGGGGAGTTTAAATACACGGATGATCCTGGGTGCTATGTTGTCTGGGGCTTCATGCCCCTGGTAGGGTTTCCCATGGCAGACAGGTCTCGGGTGACGAGTCAGACGAAGCGCAGTCCGAAGCCAACATGGACAGCACTAATAGATGATCAGTGACGTCGCCCGGCATGGCGCAGCCGGGGACCCACCCTGAAGCCAGGCCTGGGGTCGGGGCTCGAAAGCGAGCGCCTGGTGGCCGGGCCTTAGCCCACGGGCCCGGCCAGGCTCAGCTCGAAAGGAAGACGTGGGCAAGCCCTCCTGTGGGCCCACCACCCGCAGAGGGGTCCGTGGTGGCGTTGTGCAGAGAGGACTGGGCTGCAGTCGAAGGCGGAGACCTCGACGACCCAGTCCGCACACCCAACATCTGGCTCTTGGGACGTGGAACGTCACCTCACTGGGGGGGAAGGAGCCCGAGCTCGTGGGGTAGGTTGAGAGACACCGTCTAGAGATAGTCGCCCTCACCTCCACACACAGCTTGGATTCTGGAACCCAACTCCTTGAGAGGGGTTGGACGCTTTTCTGGTGTTTCCCGCAGGGAGAGGTGGCGAGCGGGGGTGGCCACACTCGTTGCCCCCCATCTCAGCCGCCACGTGTTGGAGTTCTCCCCGGTGAATGAGAGGGTTGCGTCCCTCTGCCTCAAGGTGGAGGACAAGTCTCTCACTGTTGTGACGGCCTACGGCCCAACGGCAGTGCAGAGTACTCGGCCTTCTTGGAGTCCTTGGGAGGTGTACTGGACAGTGCACCGCCCGGGGACTGCGTTATTCTCCTGGGGGACTTCAACGCCCATGTGGGAATTGCCAGTGACACTTGGAGAGGGGTGATCGGGAAGAACGGCCCCCCTGATCTGAACCCGAGCGGTGTTCATTTGTTGGACTTCTGTGCTAGTCACAGTTTGTCCACACCATGTTTGAGCACAAGGATGTCCCCCAGTGCACGTGGCACCAGGACACCCTAGGCCGGAGGTCGATGATCGACTTTGTTGTCGTATCATCTGACCTTTGGCCGCGTGTCTCGAACACTCGGGTAAAGAGAGGGGCGGAGCTGTCAACGATCACCACCTGGTCGTGAGTTGGATCCGCTGGCGGAAGCCGGTCAGACCTGGCAGACCCAAGCATGTAGTGAGGTCGGAGGAGGGGGACATTGAGTCTGAGGCCCCGACTCCACCGGGTGCGTAAAACGGACAACGGATCCGTCCAAACATGTCCGTTTCATTTCCGTCTCCGTTATCTCCATGAGGGTGAATGGAAGTGGCTCCACTGCCTCCACATGCGTCCGTCCGACGCACGTCGGACATATTCCGTTAACGGAGGGTGCAACTGACGCGGACGGACGAAATAGAAACAATCCTATTTGTTCCGTCCGTCGACGCGTGTCGGGTCCGTTTTCCATTGAAAATACAATGGAATAATATATTTACAACATTATTAAACATGTATTGATACATGCTGTAGTCCTTGGTTATAAGTATTTGTTAATGACAATGATTATTAACAAACGTGTGTAACGTTTTTTCATGTATTACTTTAATAATTGTTTCCTGATCGTACATCTATTTGTTTTTCGCGTAATGTTAATACGCTAAACTTTACATACACCTCGCTCTTTTTTCTCTCGCTCTGTCCCGTCTACCTGCGAGGAGCTCTCTCCTCACCGCCGCGCGCTCCCACACACACACACACACACACACACACACACACACACACACACACACACACACACACACTCACACACACACAGAGCTGCACTTATGAGAGACAGATCTCACAACACTGGATATGTTGGAGTTCTTTTCTCTCTCCCCTTTTTCCAATTGCTTTCAATAAGTTTTGCCTCATCCATCGCGACGTCCTCAATGCTTCAATATGCTGTGCTTTGCATTGATCATAGCCACAGCTCATGCACATCACACACCGCTTCTTCTATTTAAAACTATAGCTCTGCCTGTTGCCTAAAGCCGCGGAGAGGCGAGTTGGGTCCGATAAAAGTGTATGACGCGCTAAATAAGTAGAAAACAAACGAAGAGGTGGATCATAATAAACGCTGCAGTCACAGACCCAAACACACATGCACGCACACGCCTCCCACCACACACAGACACACACGGGCGCTCTCACGCACACGCCCACGCTCACGCACACATGCACGCCGACAACACATGACTCCTCCATCAGCCAAACATTCATTCATTCACACAATGCCCAAACGTGTCTCCTACAAAAACAAAGCAGGCTGATAAACGCACAGCCAGAGTTGCGCGCTGCTGCAGCCGGTTTGACCACTAGTCCGTTTTACGGACGTCTGACGGACAGCAGCCAACGCGCGTCAACGGAGACGCGCCCGGTGGAGTCCAGGCCTGAGTGGACCTTGTTCTCGTCCGTCCAGCGCCTCAGGAGGGGGAAGCGGCACGGTGGCTGAGTGGATAGCACTCTCGCTTCTCAGCAAGAAGGTCCTGGGTTCAAATCCTGGTCGGAACAGGGCCTTTCTGAGTGGAGTTTACATGTTCTCCCCGTGTCTGCGTAGGTTTCCTCCGGGTGCTCTGGTTTCCCCTACCACTAAAAACATGCACAATAGGTATGAATGTAAATGAGAGAGTGAATGGATGTGTTGATTGGGGGGCCGTCTTCACCGTGTGTGAAGTGATTGGAACAAAATCTGAGCTCTGAACATTGTAAAGTGCATTGGGTGACCTTGGTCTGTAAAATGCGCTATATAAATAAACATAACTTACTTACTTACTTCTTTGCCAACACTGTGTACGGTGCGGGTGGAGAGCTGCTGACCTCGATATTGTCGGGCGGTGGACGGAATACTTTGAGGTTCTCCTCAATCCCCCCGTCACGTCCTCCGTCCCGGAGGCAGAGGCTGAGGATGTTGGGGCAGATACTTCTATCTCCCTGGCTAAGGTCACCAAGGTGGTTGGCAGCCTCCTTGGTGGAAAAGCGCCGGGAGTGGATGAGATTCGTCCTGACTATCTAAAGTCTCTGGATGTTGTAGGACTGTCTTGGCTGACACGTCTCTGCAACATCGCGTGGCGATCGGGGGCTGTGCCAATGGAGTGGCAGACCGGGGTGGTCCCTCGTGGGATCACACTCCTCAGCCTCCCCGGTAAGGTCTACTCCAAGGTACTGGAGGGGAGACTACGACCGATGGTCAAATCTCGGATTCAGGAGGAGCAGTGTGGTTTTCATCCTGGCCGCGGAACACTGGACCGGCTCTATACTCTCCATCGGATACTCGAGGGTTCATGGGAGTTCGCCCAACCTGTCCACATGTGCTTTGTGGATTTGGAGAAGGCGTTGGACTGTTTTCCCCAGGGTGTCCTTTGGGGGGTTCTCCGGGAGTACGGGGTCCGGGGTCCTCTGCTGAGGGCCGTTCGGTTCCTGTATGACCGGAGCCAGAGCTGCGTTTGCATTGCCGGTAGTAAGTCAGACCTGTTCCCGGTGCATGTTGGCCTCTACCATTCTCACACACCAGAATCATGCAAGACAATGTGGATGACAACGGTTTAGAGCCACAGCTGTCCCATAGCAGTGTCCCATGAATACAGTCTATGATAGAAACTAGCACAAGCTTCTGAATGTTGAGAACAAAATCAAATAAAGTTGGTGCTAGTTATATTTATGCAATGCCCTTTGGATTGTGGAGGAGCTGAGGAAATCACCAGGTAATTATCAGTCCATGTCAAAGTTTTTAATCACTTCATTAGAGTAGAGTTAGGGTTAAGGGTTAGAGGTGAGGGTTACAGTTAAGGTTAGGGTTAGGGTTGTGTGTGCATGATCAACTTAACAGTGATCCACGACTGGATCACTGTTAAGTTGGTGATATCAGATAGTGCCTATTGAGAAGCAGTGGCTGTGCGCTAGCTAATACACCTGTTTTTTACTCTCAATTAGGTGAGAAGAAAGGTGAAGACAGAGGAGAGCCCACGCATCAGGCCCAGTGACCTGAGGAACTTCCTCACAATGTTTGTGGTGTTTGTGCTGTTTGCCATCTGTTGGGCGCCTCTGAACCTGATCGGCTTAGCCGTGGCCATAGACCCGACCCGAGTTGGCCCGCGCATCCCAGAGTGGCTCTTTGTGGTCAGCTATTTCATGGCCTACTTCAACAGCTGTCTCAATGCAATCATCTATGGCTTACTCAATAGAAACTTCCGGAACGAGTATAAGCGTATCGTCACCTCTGTGTGGGTGACACGCCTCTTTGTGACAGAAACATCTCGGGCCGCGACAGACGGGAGAAGCATGAAGAGCAGGCAGTCGCCTCAGCCAGCACTCAACAACAACGAGTCTCTGCGGGAGCGCATTAATAAAGACTGAGGATGTTTGACATGTTTTTATGTCTCAGTCTAACTTGTGCAACATGAAGGTTTGAGTACACTACAAAACTAAAATGCATGGTGCTGGGATTTTTTTAATCCATAAAATTCAGTCATTTCTATTGATACATTTATTGAGTCATTATGATCAGAGATTTCAACAACCTATCCTCTATCATTTTAGCATCCCAAAGTTGAGTCTGGGGCCCCCGGGGGACCTCAGATGCACTTTAAACAAATAACGTTAGATTAATGTAAAGAAAATGTACAAATATGTGATTGTAATGTAGTATTGCTTTTCATAACTTAAATCAAGTATGATTATGCATTTTGTCCAAATTTGATTTTGGTGTCCAAAGGGTTCTTTGGATTGGTCAGGATTGCTCCATAGTTTGGAAACCACTTCTCTGTGATTTAATGCAGGAAAAAAAAAAAAGATTAATTGAACTTGTTTGTGAGAATAAATATGATACAATTATGCAAAACATGTACATATTGTTGATATTATTGACATTTAAATGTTGCCATGCATTGTAGTTTTTGTTTGTATTTTATGTTTTACAGGGAAATGTGATACCGCAGTAGACTTAATTAAAACAAAGCGTAAAGCACTTCAGAAGCCTCAAATCACCTGAACGCTACATTAGCTGTGGGATTAGCATTGGTGTTAGTGACTGTGCACCGTGACTACAGAGGTGTGTTATTCAGTGAGCCTCAAGCTGCCTCTGCTCTATGCACTGTGCTCTACACTTAGTAAGTTAGGACTTCAGAGGGAGGGGGGGGGGTATTGTTCAACTACAAATGCAATCAAATCAGATTACGTTTCTCTGATCAGATGCATGTGATGCATGAGACTGCATATCGCGGCCTCTAAGACTGAAAGCACTGAAGTCTGTGGGGATGCCAGGATTTTTATGGAAAGGCATCAATAATCACATTAAAATAGATTGTTTGATATTGTTTGATTTATAAAACAGCTCACTGTGTGTTGTAGCAATTTCTGAAATTTTATAAAAACGGTCTTCATGGAATCTTATACTGGCTGTGAGCCTTTGAGGATGAGAACTACTTATTAAGGTATCTTACATACAGTAGTTTGCTTATGAGTATACACGATTATACTTTTCCGCCACATCTGGCACTCTATTCTATTGTGATTATCTTATGTTAAAAGGAGTTTTTAAGTCTGAAAAAGTTCGAACTTTGAAATTTTCATTACCTCTGAACTGAAATTCATATCTGTATTACCATCTCAGGGTGCCTGCATTAACTGTATAAAATTTAAATGGTGTATAATATGTTTTTGAAAACCATATAAGGGAGAATGAAAACACTTACATTTTGTATTTTAGTGTTAAGTGTTGTTTTTAATGGTCTATCTTTCTATTGGTAATGTACACTGTGTTTTGATATCGGAACAACCCTTACATAAATGTTTGCATCAAGCACTAAAAAAGGGTCCACACACACAAAGAAAATCGAAATGAATATGTTGGTGCCACAAAAATATTGCTGTAAAACATGTATCTTTAATGTTAGATACAAATGTTACCATTACATCACTTTTTCATTTTAAGGTATTTGTGATCAAACTTAAAGGTTTATTCCATGTTTGGGACGTGTTGAGGATGAGACCGATTTTCATTGTACATTAGCTTCTATAGGATGCATTCCATGAGATCTTTTATAATTAAAATAAAATATGAATTATAAAAACAGAGCCATCTGTCAATGGACGCCGTCTCTTCTCACCACTTCCTTCAAGTAAGTCCTTCTAAATTGGTTCAACCAAAAAAACGTATACAAATTTTTCATAATAAAGATTAAATAAAAAAATTTAAAAAGTCATGACAAGCTAAATTTGATCAATTCTGACGATACAGTCTGAAGTGGACTTGTTGATACACTTGTGACTTGTACAGACATAATCCAAACCAAAGACATGGACAAAAGAAAAGCCTCATGTGAATGTGCTATTGAAATGTGCAGCCTTACAGAATAGTAAGCATTGGAACTATATTGGATGGCAAGTGCCATATTTATTTATTAATTTACATTAAAGACTACTCCATGAAAAATGCTTACGTTCTTATTTTACCACTATAATATATTGCAGGGTATGTATTTGGCATGACACACGCTCACAGCATTAGCATTTGGGACGGTCAACACACATCCAACTGAGCTTTCAGCTCATTACAGCAAAAATCATGGAGTCTGCTTTCCTAATTACTCCTTTTTACTTGATAAAAACAAGACGACCACTGCGAGAGCACTTGCTATAAATAATGTGCAATGTTGGGCACGGCACGTTACTGCAAAACAGTAATTAGTAATAGTTATTGATTACTAGTAATTGTGTTAGTAACTAGGTTTCTAAGGGTCAAAACAAAAAGTGAGTAGTTACCAACTGTAACTTGTGTTTTTTTCTTTTCAAATGGAGTAAAATATAACATTGCGATAAAAACAAATTCTTCTGTAAACCGTATAATTCATCAACTCCAAACACACATGTCCCTATCGTTAAGTGTGATTTAATTCCGAAAAACAAGTTTCCTGCGGCCAATGAAAGCATGGAATGTATTTATTCTGATAGGTCCGTTGTATCCACACTGAAAAAAGTAACCTATAGAATTTACCCAATAAATCTGAGGTAACAATTTGCATCTACTTTTTTTGGGTAGATTTAATTCATTTATGGAGTATAAAATACCTGAAATATAAAACTTTAATTCCTTAAATAAATTTGGTAGAATTACCTCTTAATTTCTTGTAGATAATACCCAATATTCACCAGTAGATAATACCCAATATTCACCAGTAGATAATACCCAATATTCACCAGTAGATAATACCCAATATTCACCAGTAGATAATACCCAATAATCACTAGTAGATAATACCCAATAATAACAAATAGTTAGACCATTTCTGCATTACCTTGATTGGCATGATTTTCATACAGATATGTCAATTTCAGAACCAGGAAGGGGGGACAGTTTAAGCATTTTTTACAGGGAACAATGTGAATAACTAAAGGAAAGGAATATACAGCACCAAAACTAAACTCACATTTAAGTACTGTTCTGTCCTATGAAAGTGAGTCAAGATTTGGTGCTGTATATTCCTTTTCCTTACAGTTATGCACATTGTTAACAGCAAAAGTACTTAAAACTGTCCCCCCTTACTGGTTCTGAAACTGACACATCTGTATGAAAACCATGGCAACCAAGGTAATGCAGAAATGGTCCATTACTAATACAAATTAACCAATATCAGTTTCTCACCATTACATATTCAGATAGGGCCAGATATTACCCCCTTTAAAAAAATAAGAGGCCTTCATATTATTTAAATGTTTTTAATACCAAAAAAATTTAGACATTTTTCTGAACAGTTAAATAAAATTTCTCTTTTAAATAAAATGTTAAAGAATTGAACCATCCTTTCTGCAAGTGCAATTTCTGCATATTGTCATGTCTGCATATTGCGATTTGCGTCAGCAATTCCGCAGTCAATCACATCCTGCAATCTAGTTAAGAAATGAGGCCCAACATCCCAAATTCTAAAATAGTCCTTTTTTTGTTCACCCAAGTTGCTCAATAAGAAAAAGTGAGGAGATCAGAGAGAATCACTTGGAAATGTTCTTGTATCCAAAGTTTTGTGTTCAGTTTCACACAACTGTGACAAACCACATCTACAGTCCAACTGGAACAAATAACCAAACCATCTCAACTCCGGACAAAACGTCCTCTTGGAACAAGAAAAAAAATGTGTCTATTGCATGAGCTTACTTTTGAGGCTGTGGACTTTCTTCAGTAGTTTTTCACCATCAAGTTCCAAAAAAAGCTTTTGAAAAGCTTCAAAGGTGTTCTTCAGTTGCTTTGGATATTCAAGGTTGAGAGCATAGATCAGTCCCATCAGCAGTACACATGCCTTGGTAAGGCTTCCACATCCTTCCATTACTTTGTTCCCCTCAATCACAATGAACACATCCGATGGATCCTCTTCAGCCATGGCATCGTGCATCACCAACACCTTCATCGTTTGCTCTGAGTAGCCCTCACATTCCTGCATGTAAAAAAAAAAAACATACCGATTTAAGTATTTTTTTTCTTTTAAAGAGGCTATTAAGTTTGTGGTGGAAATTAAAGGATGTAACGGCATCCAAAGACAGTAAGAAGTCATCATAAAAGGCAGAAGCCAAACTCAGAGCAGAGCTGAGGAGCAGAGCAGAAATGAGGAGCAAAGCTGAGGAGAGGAGCAGAGCAGCAGAGGAGCAGAGCTGAGGACCAGAGCTGAGGAGCGGAAGACATACCTGGCAGTCATGGAAAAGATCTTCTTCCTTTTCACCGAGGTAGTTAATGAGGCAGCAGACAACTGTATCCCTTTTCTTCTCAATGCTTTGTGTCTGCAGGGAGACAGAATTTAGAAAAGACAGTGTAACTGATTTGCATGCACAAGACCAAATCTCCTTAAAAGTTTTCAATTCAAATAATGTTAGTAAGCATTGTGAAGAGCAAAACCATTGTTTTACAATTTAATTACATATAAATAAAACTTCTTACATCATTTACAGTATACAGCTGATGGCGCATCTTCTGACCAGCAACTCCACCTCTAGCCTGCATAAGCTTCAAAAGACGTGGTGTGTACTCATCAAGTTTCCGCATGAAAGTCTCCTCCAAGGACACTGTTGTTATACGTCTGAACTCATCCTTAATCTAGGGGGGAGTAAAAGGACAAAAAAACAACCACACATTTTAAATGGACCAGATCTCAAAGTAATCACATGAATGTTTGCATGATCAGACAGTCTCACCTGAGCCTCAGTGAATAACGCTGGCCACCTTTCTTTAAACACACTGATGGAGGGGCTCATGGTCACCACTTCGATTCTTCGGCTTGAGAAGGTTTTAGTCATTTTATCCGTGATTATCTTTGCATTGTTTTTCTTTTTCACTTCGTCGAGTAATTCAAGCCTCTCTTTATCCAGTGTCT